ATTATTTCTCTCCGAGTTGGAACTCGGATGAAATACATCACGTCCCGTCGGAAACACGCCTCTCTTATGACATTGATGTCGGACAGAATTTATAAAATATTTTATAAAGCTTTTAATACGGTTTGACAAGTTTGTGTTTCTTGTTTGTTTGTCCCTCGAAAAAAATAATCTCACTCCAAATCTGCTAAAATATAAAGCAACAACACACAGCAGCATGTTCATGGAGGCAGCCGTGTTTGTTCCGAGATGCGGTAGCTTGAATGGGAGATTGTCGGATGTGATGTCACTCAACTCGGAATTTCCGAGTTCTGAGAGAAAAACTAATGCACCATAAGTCTCTGTGCTCGTGCACAGGAGGTCCATGGTTGTGTGTCTGTGGGCCCTTGAGTAAGGCCTTTAACCCCCAGCTACAGGGGTGCTTCCTGTATTCTGACCTCAAAGCTATGGAGCACAAGATGGGGTAAGTAAAGAGATGTGATGTGTAGCTGTACTTCTGTGAATAAAGTATTTATTATAAGTGTGTAACAGGACCCTTAGTTAGGGTCCTGGGGAAGAATTAATTGCACAGCTATGCTTCATCTACACCATACAGCACAGTTAAAAGCCCTGGTCAAGGATGCACACACACAATCATTCCACCAGGGCAGGGCCTCAAACCGGGGACCTTTAGCACACGAGCACAGAGACTTAGCCCTCTGAGCCAATCACCACCCACATAGCCTAAGGACCAATAGCCAGTGCTAATAAATCATGTATGTTTCTTTATTAAATGTGGCTCAGACTTCTGTTTTCCAAACTGACTGCTAACCAGTTTTGCCCCAGTTCTTGCTATGTGGGGCGATCGCCCCAAAGATTCTTAGTGCATCAGCTACACATCTGGTAAGAGACTGATCGTACATGTATAGTCAGGCGGATGCGTGCCGGATCTTCAGAACGTATACAGGCCAAATGTAATTTTTTCGAACTCTAGCCAGATTCTGGTGCAGACTCTCCTGCCTGAATGTCAGTGGCATTCCAGACTTAGGGCGATGCAGGTGGATCTGGACCAGTATCAGTTAATTGCTATGTGGGGAGAGACTCAGAGAGGCTACTCATAGCATTTAGTTAGCTTACTGTAACAAACATGAGTAGTTATGGTAAAATGACATGGTGTTTAAGATGAGTAGCAATCAGACATTCCTGTCACTGGGTGTGGAACAATAACAACATGTAATGGAACTAATTGTGGCTGCATGTGGCACAGAGTTTCTTAAAAACAAACACATGTAACTAGGAGTTTATCAGCGCCCGTCATCAGCCCATTTGCTGAATAAATGCCTGATTACTCGTTCCTGTCCTCTCCCTTTTGTCCAACTGACCCTTATAAAGCACGTGACTCATGCTGCCAGCACAATTGTTAATTGGTTGGCATCCTTCACCTCTAGCAGATCCCAGAACCCTGTAGGAGCGTACGACAGTCGAGATCTCAGCGCTCTCCAAAATACAGACAAGCGCGATTAAGCAACCCTGGCCTTCATTTCGTCATTTCCGCTGTTTCCTGCATGAGCGAACCTGGTTGCTACCGCGCGAACTTTAAAACTATAGAAACTATAGATATCACCTAAATAATAATTAGAATTAAGTCATCGGAAAAAAAAATCCTCACAAGTTTAATAGTCTTCTGATAATTCTCCAAACCCCTACGGATTAATCACCTTCGCAAGCACCGACCCACGATCTCCATTCAATCAAAAAGGTGCTTCCAGCTTTAGAACTTCAGTCTTCCCGTTTCACGTAAGTACAACACCATGTCTCCTGTTCCGTGTTCTGAGTGCAATATGTTTAGTTATTCTTCTCAGGTCATTAGTGGTACGTTTACCTGTGAGAAGTGTCAGTCGCTAGGCTGACGGAGAAGATTGTAGTTTTAGAGGGACATATCCGGACGTTACGGGACATTCAGGAAACAGAGTTTTATTGATTCAGTGTTAGCGGCTCCGGATATGTCCGCCATAGGTATTCAGTCTCCCCCCGCTCCAGCAGCAGAGCCTTCGCAGCAAGGCGAGTGGGTGACGACC